ACACACACACACACACACAAAAATAATAATAATTCTGTTATGTTTGGTCACATTTTCAGAGAGCCACTGCCACATGTGGCCCCCAGAGCCACAGGTTGCAGACCCCTGCGCTAGTAGTACCCTCAACACAAAGTCTAATTTAACACAAAGTTCTATACCGATTTGGAATGCCTCAGCGCTTTTCTGCGAATGCGTAGTTTGGTTCGATTGGGTCCTTCGGCAGAGTCTTGCACCCAGTTTTGGCTCAGCAGCACCCCTGGGCCAGGACCAAACACGGCTCTCTCCCTCAGCAGCTCGGCCTCGACGTTTAGCCACTGGGAACTCACACGCTCCCACTCAGTGGTTTGCAACTGGAACATAAATACAAACCAAGCCAGAGGGAACAGTTGAGACAAAGACATTAAAACCAATTCCATTTTAACTGTTAAAACGTATCCGAGTAGTCGAACCTGCAAGTGATTTGTCCTCATATTCTCAAACATGCTGTGGCCTCTCTGCCGATGTGACTCGACGTAAGACAGAAACTCCTGCGAAGAAAACAAGAGTGAAAGTGGCTGCAAATAAAAAGAGGAACAGTACAATCACTCTTCCAGGCCCACACACACMCACAGACAAACACACAAGCATCATACTCACAAAGATTTCATATGCATAAATGTTATATGCATAATGGTATTGTTGTTTCCTCATGCAATTACATCTGTTCTAAATTGCATTCACTGGGCAAAATAAGCTAGTGGCTACAGTCTTACAATAACCCTGTCTGCAAATGTAATCATTTGTTGGTGTGATCTAATTAACATAAACATTAATATTACTGAGCCACACCACAGTCAAGGGCAAGTTTAGTTTGTGTGCACACCTTTAGTGTGTGTAAGGCAGCGTTTTGTTTGTTTGTGTTGCCTGAAAAAGGGGAAGAAATGAAAAATCTAAAACGGAGCCGTGTTGACACTGCACAACGCTCATGTTCAGACACACTGGGATCATATTCTGACTGTTAACTGCTTCATTAAACGCATCATCACAGCAGTGCCTGCTGAGAGACTAGTGAAACAACATGTGTCCATCTTCACGGCTGACCCAGGAAAGCCATTTAATTGAGTGAGTGAGCATGCAGTAACTCTTTATTTCGGGTTTTATTTACAGATGCTAATTTTGTGTGCTGCTGCATAAAGCTGTAAAAGGAATAATTGATTTTAAGTGCAATAAAAACACAACAGTTCTGCATCAGGCAAGATGCAAAAAAATTGAAAATACTTTCAAATAAATGCATTTTATAGCCACTGACAACAAAGTGATGAGCCCTTGAATGGAAACTGTTTCCCTAAACGACTGAATGCTTATCCAAATGAGTTGTGCAGAAAAAGAATTAAAGGAGGAATCTGAGGGGAGATTATAGAAATATTATAAAAACAGAAAAGAGAGGAATAATGAAGTTTGCAAACCAGAGCCATGTTGTCACAAACAAACAGAAAGTTGGCGTCATCATCTCTAATTTCATTCCTTCATTTGGACAAACATAAGTAATATATAGCATTAATTACCCCGTTTAGCAGATAGGAACCTCATTGGCTTTTTAAATGCTGCATTAAATACATAACTCATCTCTTTCCTCTGCAATTAACATCAGAACATCACACTCATTTCCATTTTAATGACTTCCCAACAATAYGCCACCTTTGATGATAAGGCAACATAATGTCAACTTCATTCTGAGCTGGCAGTGAATGTGTAATGAACTTAACGTKATCATTAGTGCTGTTAATTATCTTTCTAATATGAGGACACAGATATGATTATGGAAACTGCATTCGCTGATGAAATAAATCTCTAGAAGAATTGCACTGAAGCTTAACAGAGGACACAGTCTGYTTATCAGTCTCTATATTATCATTTATTACCTATAGTATAAATCCTTTATTTTTATTCAATAAAATAAGTTATGTGAAACTATTAAAAAAAACTATTTTGCATCCCTATGATCAGGTTTTTAAAAAGAAACTCCCCATAAACTTGTAATTTGCCAAATAAAAGTCAAAAGTTGATGATTCAGAAATTAATTTATGACTCAGTTTTTTCTTCATAAGATTGGATAAAAAATTTTTAAAAAACGAACCGACCGGCTGACCATAGCAGATTTTTAATTGAATATTTAACTCAAACACTCCCTATAGAGGTAAACATTTTGCAGCAACATACTGCAAGGAAGAGGAGAGAAACCATCCCTCTGTTGTCTTCCCAGCATCTCAGATGGAAAAACAATTCATCACCTTCTCTGATAGCCTGTCAAGGACTGATATGATAAAGAACAACATCAAATGAATAATGTTTTCATCAGATTGGTACCACTGTAATTGCCAACATGATTTCTGTGGGCAAAAGACACGCACAAACAAGAGTGTGCATACACTTTTTGAGCGTGTGAGACAGAMACACAGACGCTGTAATTTCATGCCTGTGTGCCTGAGTAATACGTCCCTGCTCCCTGCTCCAGATGGCTCAACGTCTTAAGCGTTGTGGGGGAACTAATGATGTGGGCCACGTGTTTCGGGGGGGAAAAAACAACAATAAGCGCGTCTTTAACCTTCAGCGGCAAACAGTGTGTTGTGGCGAGTGGATAGGCCTAACAGATATCAATTACAAAGCTCACTCAGGGGCAATCGGCTGTGATAATCCAAATCTATTTAAAGAAATAAACACTCCCGCAGGGCTGGACGGCCCACAGAACAGGCACATTTGTTACTTTGGGATGAGAGTTTGGCTCGGTCCTCGGGGATGCAGAGGCACCGGGGAGAACAGCCTCACAATCCTCAAAGGTGTGTGCAAGAACCAAACTCAAGATGTGTGCGTACCTCKGCTTTTAATGACTCTTGATCTTTGCCCAGCACAGAGCGAAGAGCACTGCTAATCATAAACAAGGTCCTCTGAGACCTGCTGGTCACTTTCTTCTTTTCAGACTCTGCAGAAACATGCTTAACGTCAAAAACAAGACACCGAGATCACTCTTATTATTATTATTAGACAGTTCGAGCTAACCTGTGTATAGCAGCCATGTTTTGTTTGCCATCTCCTCCCACAGAGGGCTGATGTCAGTCATGCCAGCAGGCTTTGTCTCAGCTGTATGGCTCACTAAGATCTCCATTTTATAGGTTTCTTCAAGCATGTGTTGCCTTTCTAACATTAACTTTGACCAACAGGCTTCTGCTAAGGACACTAGTTGTTTATCATCTGGAACACACAAAAGTACATTTTGTCTGTTAAATTTGGGAAGATGACATCACTGATAGACACTTTTAAAGTGGGCCTCGAACCTGCCATGTCTGCTTCGTTGTCGAGGCATGAAGGATGTCTTGTGGGTAAGGGGCTTGATGAATTCTTCCTGTTGTACCCTTTCTTTGCCATGCATCCAAAACCTTCAAGATAGCTGCAAAAAAGGCATGATTATATAAATTATGAGTGAAAAGTCAAAGCATATTAGTGAGTAAATGCCTAAGATTAATGATACTATTACCTGCCAGAGCGAATTAGTAATAGACAATGAAGAAGGCAAGTAATAAAGTTCACGTTTGCGTTGTAAGTTGCCATGAGAACATCCCAGTGCTCCATGAAGGTTTGCAGCACCCCGATGACTCCAGCCTTTTCTTCTTGAGAATGTCGCGGTTGAGACAGGAAATAAAGCAAGACTTTATTGGCGCATGAGTAGAGGGCAGACACAGTCTTCTCTTTCTGAGTTTGACCTTTCTCCAGAGCCTGAAATTATACACCGGCGTGTTTGTTATCAGTTGAAATAAGAATCATATTAGTTATTAAAAGAGTATGAGGAGATTTACGTTAAAGCAATATGCATGTCCCAATGCTGAAACTGAACTCTAATTTGTCACTGAACACTTTATTTTTTGGTGAAAGCATTTTTTTCTTTATGGAATGGATGCGTTTTTTTTTTCTCACCATCATAATCTGATCTGAAAAGAACTCGAGGAAAACTTTAGAGTCTCCTACGAATGATCCATCGTATAGCTTCTGCAGCAAAGTCTTACAGAAAAGCACCACATTTGCCATCAGTGTGCCCGTCTGTCCATCAGGTCTCTGATTTGTGCAGTCTAAGACATTAAATAAAAAGTTATCAAGTCAGATTTTATTCTCTGCTGAATCCAAAATAAGATATATGCAAATTATAGAAGTATAATTTTACCTTGTGAATTGAGATGGGTGTTGTTGTCCTGGTTGCCGAGTATGTGAATGATGTTCATAATCAGCTCCACTAACTCGGTCTGAAAAGTCTTCCTCTGTTCCAGAGATGATCCATCAGGACAAAACTATAACATTAAAGCAGGTCAGCAGGTAAAATATATTTTGATTCATAATGAGGTCATTTTGACATGTGACAGCTCCTTTTTTTTCAACTCATATATTTGTTTAAAAAGTGTGTAATTTCAAAGATGATGTGAGTGCAAGCAGGTGAAGCTTATTTAGAGCGGGGAAATCCTTTCCTTCTGGTGGTGAATAATTCATTTACAGTTCCTTTGCTCTTTGCTTAGTAAATGAGCATAGAGTGGCACCTTCTGGAGAAACAAGTGTTTTGCAGAATTATAGCTTCCTGAATCAGCTTGTTTTTTGGGGGGGTTTAAGAAATAAAATGCATGTGTATCTCTTAAATGTATTTAAATTTTTATTGTRGTATGTGGACTAATAATAAACAGAATACATAAGAAGTGTGAAATCACCTCCATCAGCAGAACCATAGGATGTGGGTTAGTGCTTGCAGACACATTAAGAAGACTGTCCATTAACAAAATCTGCATGAAGTCGAGCACTGGTTTCCTTGTTGACTGACTGCTGGACGTGTCTTCACTTTCACTCATTTTGCTGAACTTACCAATATCCTGAGGGAAGTGAGTAAACCAAACAATTAAACAATACGGGCAAGAAGTTGTAAGAGAAAGTTGTGGAACCAGCAGAACACGCGAACCTCAGAAACCTCTACAGGAAACACAACACCGGCGAGTGAATGCAGAAACATGGGCAATGCCCAGAGTGGGTCCCTTGGCCGGAGGTTGTGGAGGAGACAGAAGAACTGCATCACACTTGCTGGGAGCTTCGAATCCCAGGATACATCAGGGCCTGACATGTTAGCTGAAGAAAAAGGCTTTAAAAACAATATAAAAAAACATTGCAGTCATTTCATTTTTGTGTCAAAAAGCATAGAGAGCATCTTAGTTTCATTAGGCTTCTTCAACCTGAGTGATGACGACTTTGACCATTTCCAGGATTATTGTAGCAGCTTCAACACAAAGCTGAGGAGCAGGAGCTTCTGATTGGCTGTCGATCAGCGACTGTAGGACATCATCCAAAGGAACCTGTTTTTGGAAAGAATAAAAACCTTATGACAAGGCAAATAAAAATGAGGATTTGCAACATTTAAGTGTAACTCACCATTCCCTCTGCAGTCTGACCAACCGTTTTTCCCAGCAGAAGAGCAGCTAGAGCTTCATACACCTCAGGTAGGTGAGTGTGTTTAATTAACAGCTCCTGGAGGACATCAAATCCTGGACACGACGTGCTGAGACACTCCTGAGACCAAGAACAGGCTCGAAGGTTGTCTAGTAACAGGGCAAGAAATCAGGGAGATAAAAAGATTTAGAATAGATCAGAATCAAGCGGTTACAATTATTGTTACTTTAAGTCAAATTTGTTTAAAAATCGCATTTAATAACAGCTGTCATTGATTGAAGTGCTGTACATGACATTTTTAAACAAGTAATTAAACATATATTAAAAAGGCATTTGTATATTTTTGTATGTAATAAATGTCGAATTAAAAAAAAAGTTAAATTTTTATTTAGATTTTTTTATATTCCAAAAAAATTTATTTTTGACATGCTGTTTTCCTAAATCATTTAGTTTTTTTAATTTGTATTATTTTATTGAGTTTGTTCATTTTTCTTTTGCTCTTTTCCATTATGTTTTATGAAACATTTTATTTTGTTTTTCCAGTTTTTTTGTTTGTTTTTTTTGCAAACTCAGCTATTTTAATACTGAACGCAATGTTTTTATTTTTAATAAGTACCTTTATATAATTTCTTAATTTTCAGTTTGGAAGTAAAATATTGATTAAAACATTCCAATAAAACAACTTTTTTTCTAGAAAAATGACAATTGTGAAGTGATGAGAAAATCCTTTAACTTTATGTACCCATCTTAGACATTCACTCTTAACATTTTCATGACATTCATAGGAACTTAAGGTACTCATGGCTATAGGTGGCCGGATGGCACCACTCTCACCTCCTGTGCCTGTGCCCAACCCCCAAGGTTTGCATATAGACACTTAGGGTTTTGGGTTAGGAGTAGTGGTGGAGGGGAAACTGGCACCACGYCGGCCTCTGCCTCTTCTTCTTTCCCTTTTTAATTACTCTATAGAACAACATGCACCAACAGTACATCTGGGGGTGGGGGTGTGGGTGTCAGGGTCTTTACTCCCATCCCGTTCCCCGACTGCCATTTGGGGAGGGGGTCCTGAAGAAGGGCGGGCCGCCGGGTGCGACCCTGGGCTATGGGTGGGCTCGGGGCTTGGACAGTTGCCGAGGGCGGGGCTGGCTCTCCATCCTCCCTGGTGCTGCTTGGTCTCCTGAGGTGTGGCTCTTGGTTCCTGTGGGTGGCCCCCTGGCCGGGGTGGCTGCCGGGTTCCAGGAGGTGATCGGCTGGGGGGGTGCACTTGGCCGTTGGCGGTGTGGTGGGGTGGTCATGGGCGTGGCTTCTCTGCGGCGGGGAGCTGGCCGGGCGTCCTGGTGTGGCCCGGGCCGGGCCTTGGTTATCTGCTCCTCTCCACCTCAGAATGATTGGGTCTACCTCCTGGGTTCGGGTGTGTGCTGCCTCCAATATGGGGTGGGTGCATGTCCTGGACCTGGGGGGTATACAGTGTGTATCGGGGGTATGAGTGGAATGTGGCGTCCTTGTATGTCTTTGATTGAGTGGGGGTGAGGATGAGGGCGGGATGGTGCGATCATGTATGTTTGGGTATTTGTCAGGCTGAGGTCTGGGCTGTCCCTCCTGCTTGTTTATCTGGGGGGCCCCTGCTACTCGGCCCCCTGGTGGGGTGTGTGGCTAGTCGCCGGCATGCTGGGGGTTCCCAGGGTCTGGGTGCTGGGGTGTGTGCCGGCCTGGCCTGGTGACTGCCTGCTGGGGCTTGGGGCCTCTGGCCCTGTCAGGCTTTGGCCTGGGGGGGTTGTGCCCTGGGAGCCCGGACCTCTATGCCCTTTCCTGGATCTTCTCTGGTGTGGCGGGTGCCGGTGGGGCTCATGAGTTTGTTGCTGCTGGCCCCGGGAGCTGTGCGTGTGGTCGCTGGGGGGACTCTCCCAGTTCTCCCCTATGGTCTGATCTGGGGGGTGGGTGGGCAGATCTTCCCGTGCGGGTGCCCCTTGGGGCTCTGCGCTCGGGATCCCTCTCGGGCCCTTGGGCTCTGGTCTTCCCTATGTCTGCCTCGTGTCTTGGGGGTTGGGTCTCTGATCCTCCACAGTCACTATTAAATATTCCATTGGAGAAATCTTGTATATACACGCATGTTCACAACTGCTCACAAACAGGTGTTCTGATCCGGGGGGTTCTGACTGGTCACTGAGTGTGTATACAGTATATGTCTGTGTGTATATACTGACAATATTTATGAATGTAGGCATGTATGTATGTATATCTTTATATATGTATGGGTATGTATATATATATATATATATGCCATCCATGTATTTATGCATTTATTTTTCAGGTGAGCAGACAGATGTTGGGTGTGTGGTCCTGTGTTGTCTCGGTGTATATTTAATATACTTCTAATCTCTATTTCAATCTTTCTAATTACATATCTCTCTGTTTTTCTCTCTTTCTCTATTTTCTCGTCACTTAAAAAAAAGTCACCGATGATGAAGAAATAAATAAACTAATAATATTTAGTTTCGTTTTCTACTGAAGTGACAAAAAAAAACTTTATGTACCCATGATAGCAAATGGCTCCTCAATGCTCTCTACAAGTGTTCCAGGAATCACCCCTTCTCTGAAGCTGCTCTGTTGATTTGGACTCAGCAGAAACTGTGTGAGCAGAACAAGGCCCAGTTTCAAAGTGGAACAGTGGAGGTGGGCCTGAAGAAAGAGCAGGAACCAATCACTGCCAAGAGATTCGAATATGGCCTTCTGCTGACTAGTTGGGAGAAACAAATGTTTAGGGTAAATACTTCTGCCATGAAATTAGGGCATACTGAGAAAATATCTGTTGTGACCTATTTAAAAATTGTGCTTTGACTACATAGTAAAAGTTGGTCCTTACTCTGGGAGGCTGTCTGAAGTGAGAATTTCACACAACACAGATAGCAACTTGTTGCGGATCCAGATAAGACTGGCTGGACCCAAACTCTTAGCTTCAAGGTACAAAAAAACAAGTCTGGATGAGAACAAACTGTTTTAGTGATGACACGTGTAATATGGCATGTGCCTGTGGGTTATACCTGACATATTGTGTGAAAATTCCCCATCAGATATCTCACTGCTTTCAGACTTGTAGCTCAAGGGAGGGAGTGTGTAGACCAAGAAAAGTCCCAGCCTTTTCACAAAAACAGGAAACAAAATAACACTTAAAATATAAAAAATAACTTGTTTTGATGTTTTGATGGTGTCACCTAAATTTACCTGCTTATGTCCACAGGGTTTAAGTGAGCCTTCAGGAGGGATGTGATGATGCAAGAGATCATGTCAACCTTCTGAACGGTCACAGCAGGCTCAGACAACTCAAACAGCAGCTTTGGTAGGAGACCCACACTATGCATGACCATCGCATTCCTGCTGTCACTGTTCAAAACATGATGAGTGAAGCAGAAGAAGCATTGATATCAATCACAATCCAATACCACAGGCAGACAATCGAATTCAACAATCCAACACACGTCGGGTTCTCTCTTCAGCCTCCCTCACTAATTCTGTTGAACGTTCCCTSGACTCTTTCTTTCCTACACCTTCCTGAAATTGATGACAGGCTTCTGCGGGTGTTGACAGAACAGCCGATAAAGTCTGTCAGTTCAGAACAAGACCCTTCTTCTTGTTTTACATAACCTGTTGGCTGCGTGAATTAGCAAGAAATTTGATTAGAGCTACCAATACGCTGTTAACTGTGGAATTTACCTTGAGGATTTCAAGTTTTCCGCAAAGTGGCTCAGAACTGAGAGGTCCAGATTGTCTGATGTGTTTTTCCACACCTGAAACACAAAAACACTGGTTAACTTAAAGTATATAACTTTTACATTAGCCTAATTTTTATGACAAAAAAAAGAGTGATGTTTTACCTCCAGGTCACAAAGCAGTGCTTGGAAAGCAGGGGTGTTCTGTAAACAACCAGAGTCATAGCTATTCTCTACCGAACTTGAGAGGTTCAGAACCAGCTGCAGAGTTCGATGGCTGACAAGACTACTCTTCATCTTCAGTAGGAAAGCTAGCAGCTACAAAAAGAGTAAACGATGAAAGAAATGTTCCCAACRGCGAAATAATTTTGTCTGCATCAAAATCTATGTGAACGCTGAAAAACCTTATATCCATTGATGCGATTCATTTCCTGCTGCATTGCAGAGTTGGTCTCCAACACGGAGAGAAGAACTTTAACAGACGYATACAAAGCGCTGTCATCTGGTGCCATCGCAATCAGACTGAGAACAACTGCTGGCCCACCAACATACAAAAAACCATTGGAAGCAGGCCTTGGAATGAATGTTCGCATGCCTAAAATGAAGAGGTCCCAATGATTAAAAGCAGTGCTCCTACCAGTACAGCACAAAACAAACTTTTATCAAACTTAGTTTACCAAAATGTCCAATCAGGGCAGCTCCAATGCTACGAGCTGTGCCACTCAGGTGCTGACTGATGTTTTGAGCAAGAAAAACGGGCGTGCAGTCATCCCGAGATGCTATCGCCATCTGTAATTACACATAAATATCACTTTGTACCAAAACAACAGAAACATCTGCTGAGCAAGGATTCATGTTGTCCTGACCTCTTTTGCAATCAGTCTGCAATCCACCTCATTGTAATCCTCTCTGATCTGTAACACAGTTGTTATGGAAGAAACTGCAGGGTTGATGCCGAATGTGATCCTCTCTTCGGGAACCAGTCTGAGTAGGACMGGCTCAGCATTTGGATCAGGATCTAGACACAAAGACATGTTGCTTAGAAAGTAAAACAAAAAAATTAAATAAAAAAAATTAACAGCAATGAATTATTTTCTCATGTACGTATATTGTATTAGGTATTTTCAGACAGGTAGTTCAATTCTATACCACAATCAAGTAACTATGCTAACTTYAGTTGTTATAAAAATGCTGTGTATATCAAAAATAAATTTGAATCYAAACGCCTTGAAATTTTTAAACAATGCTTCAAAGGAGGGCTGCACTGTGAATCAGGAGCTTGACTGTAGACTGGGCTCTTGCGAGGAGCTAGGTACAAATAGGCGGTGCTTTGAACCAGCAAGTGTTTATGCAGCTCCACATGGCTACCAAAGGAGATTCAAAGATTTCTCAAACACGCACAAATGAGTCAAAGCAACACTCTGGGTATGTTTTTGATAGGGGAACGACATTATAACATGATATAAAGCTGAAAAAGTCAATTTTACTTGATACGTGCCCCCCAATAATAGTGTTTGAAACTTAATAGCTACTTTGGTTTACAACCATATTTTATAAAATCCACAAACCTATATAATAAATAATGTATTGGTCAACATGACTAAAGAAATATGCATTTGTAAGAATTTAATGAGAAATATTTGATTTTGTAAATTAAAAAACTAACTATTCCATTTAGACTTTATCCTAACCTGAGTTATTCTTTCACAATAAACAAAGAATAAGTTTAAACATGTTATGAAACTGTTGCCAAAGAACTTGTAACTTACCAGTGTTGCGCAGGGCCAGGAAGTTGCCTATGTATGAGGTGCCTTGTGTGTAAATAAGAGCCACAGCTTCGGAGCTCAAAGCCTCTTCAAAGAGGTAACAGGGGCCTGCTCTCCACACTAGAGCAGCATGCTCCTTCCACAGAGCCGGCGTCCCTATCAGCCCATACACATCGATCACGGTCGATGGGTCCATGGAGACACACTGACCCGGAAACGGCTGAATATACTTCATCTGATGGACGATCAAGATTTAATACATGAATTTTAAAAAAATACATCAGAGTTAAAGTTTGATTAGTAGACAAAAAGTTTCCTCTTATCATACTTTTCCTGTTCCCACTGCCTTGCCATTGAAGTAGGCTGTGGTCAGACAGCTTTTCTTTACATCTTTGGTCATGACGACGGTCAAATGATGCCACTGGCCAGGGACCAGCAAGCTGGAGCAGCGAAGCCTTAAAGACGCAGACAAAGACGTTGGAGTGGAGACTTCAGGATCCATCATATCTGTCAAAAAGACAGAGATGAGGCCATCATTGTGCTGTGGTTTAAATGATCTCACTATTACACAGTTCTACTTCAAGTCCACATCAAGCCCACAGTGTGCAAATACCAACCAACTTTCATTTTTCTTACCAAGATATGAGAATGCTTCTTCCTCTGTAGAGATGACAAGACAGCCATCATAGGCTGAGAAGGACATAGACAAACAGACGWACGGTTGTTCGGTTCGGGACATGTGGCGTACGACCGTCAACAGACGGATTGGGTGGGATTCACAGGCTGAGCTGAACTTGCTGATTTGGAACCAGAAGGAAAATGAGAGGCCGGCTGGGGGTGGAAAACCTCTGCATTCTAAAACACGAGAGAGAGAAAGTTTCGAMAATTTACTCAGAAAATTTAAAAGGTAAATGGCATGACTTATCACTTACCTCCTCCAATTCCACCGGTTGAGATTGAATCAGCAGTCACTCCTTTAACTGTGGCCAAAGAAGGCAAGAAAAGGCAGCTAGAAGAACAAAGCCATGAAATTAAAAACAAATTATGTTATTTTTTAAAAGCTTTTGCTTCAAATTTGAAAAGTGATAATTTTACTACATATTTTACACTTTATGCTCTTTGGATAATCTTTTTTCAATTAAGAAAAAGGGAGAAAAAACAGTATTCATGATATTTTAAGACAGGACTACACAGAAATGAAAAACACAAACCCATATCCACTTTCACTCATGTCAAACTCCACAAATGGAGGTGAGGAGGAGACTCGGTGTGGCCTGAATGTGCGTGGCGCTGTCATGGACACCAGACTGACAATCTGGTGGACTGGAATTGCAGAACCTAAAGAGGTTGTAGGTTGCAACAAGCTGAAAGTCCGTTTCAGTGTTTTTCTTGAAGAATYGGCATTTGCCTTTGTGCTCTCATCTGGTTTGAACAACATGAATAAAGTTTATTAAGCAAACGGCTTGTCRTCTATTATACTGGATAATAACAGAAATGTTAACTAATGTCAAAATAACTATGAACCATTTGAATCGGGTKTACTGGCTTCTGGGTTACATTCTGGTTGCACTTCCTTGATTGTTTTATCCCCCAAGCACAAGAGAGGATCCCCTAAACACAGGAACTTTCTGAGTGACAAAAAGTAACAACTAAATGTCAAATACATAAAACTTTAGTACTAACATTAAAAAACACACCAAGTATGCCTAACCTGAAGTCAAAATGTGAGATGGCCAGGGAGGAGAGCTTCTCCAAAATTCTTGTTACAGGTAAATGTAACGGGTGGTTTGGTGATAGCAACACGCTCCGACAGCGAGTCAGCAGTGTGGAGACCAGTCCTCCCTCACACATTATCTGGCGGTTTCGCTCAGATTTGATCATGGCCTGGATGTGGTACACTACTGAGACCTGGATCTCCATTGAGAGCTGAAAATAAAATGAAAGATTGTTACTTTTTCAAAATATTAACAGTGCAATTAGAAATTAGCCTGGCCCTTGCCTTTCTATGCAGTTCTGCTCAATTCTAGTTTCCCTTCACTGCTCCGTCTGGGCCTTCTCCCATAGAAAAGGGTTTCTTCGGGAGCACTTTATTCGGGCCAATCAGAGAACATAACGTCGATTTTCTGTGCAGCGTCTGCTTGTAGTTTATTTTATCTGGGCCAATCAGCAAACAGAAGGCGGAGTTTTGAATGACGTCAATTTTCTTTGCAGTGTCTGCTATTTAGTTTAGCATACAGCAGTGGAGGAAGTGAATGAAGCCAGTCCGTGTTGATAAGGCTGCCAGATTAAATTAAATTTGTCTGACAAAGCAGCAGCTTTCATTTGCAGTCGTCACGTTCGGCTCGGTACTTTTCTCCTCTCAGTGGGGTTGTTTACAGCGCAAGTGATTTCCAGTTAGCTTCTTAGCTTAGCCTCCTTCACAGCGGAGCTGGCACACATACGTCGCAAGCAACCGATCCAATCATTTTAAACTTCAGCAGAGGCCACGCCTCCAGCAAGAATCACTTCTCTATAGCCGAGAGTCCAGACCCTCGTACGAAGCAAGTTGAAGGACAAGGGTCTGGTTTTTACCAGGCTAATTAGAAATAAGACCATTTAAATCTTTAAAAATATCAACAAATCTAAAAAAACATCACAGTCAGATTTTAATCATGCTAAAGGATAAGAAGTTAAAATACAAAAATAACCAAAGCACTTGGCAAGCTGAGACACTCTTGAGAGTAGGACTTGAAGTAGGCCAGTTAGTTAAGGTTACTCACTTAATCAATATGTAATTTAAAAAATGTATAAATGTCTTCAAAATCTTAAGGCCAACAAACTTAAACAGTAGCAACTCCATCTACTATAACAGCATACCTGTGGGTCTTCAGGACTGAACACGTGTGGAAGGAGAGTCATAATAACTCGAATTGCTCCTGGATGAAAAATAATCTGATCAGATGAGATCCTAACACAAAAGAGAAATATGATAAACAAAACATTGTTTAGATATAAATGTTATTCATATTTTAGGAATTTAGCAGAGTCTTATTATGTTCTAATAATTAGAAATATCTACCTGTACTGAGACTCTATGCTGATTGTGGGACTACTGGGTGCCGAGATTTTTTCCTCATTAGGCTGCAGGCCTGATCCTGACAGCCCAAGAGACTGTCCTGAATTCACCCTTTCATTCCTGGTCCGCCCATGTAGTTTCTCTTTATCTTCATCACACTCATTGCCAGGCTCTTGCCCAGATTGTAAACCATGAGGGGAGTAGGTCCCTGTGGCGAAGTGGTCAAGGTAGGAGAGCAGTCTTATACATGTCCGAAGGGTGACTGGCAAATTTGGCCACAGTGAGGTAGAGCAACTGGTGGCTTCTGCCGACTCAACAAACTGGAAAAAGCTCTTTCTAGAGGCCTGGTTTTCCTCTGCCGTCCTGGGACAGAAGCACTTCCCTCCATCCCATTTCTCACTCTCGAAGTCTTCATTGTGGAAGCAGCCCAGTTGGAGCAGCGCGTCTGCCAACCTTTCGTAGAAGCCGTCAGCCTGAAAATGGTACGCGTTAACGTCGTGAAGGTGCACGGCCAAAGCCAGGATGTGCAACGCGAGGAGGAGGAGTTCCAGCAGCTGCTGATGTCCTAAAGTCTTCCACACCTCCCCGTTCGGAGGCTCAGACAAAGCTCCTTCCATGTCCACAACAAGAGACAGTAGTCCAGTGAAGCCTCCTGCTTTCCTGAAGGCTTCCCAACTGTTGGGGCTCTCCAGGACCCTGAGCACCGACTAGTGAGACAGACCACCAGGACAGTAAATACACTCAAAATACATGGGATTTAACAAATTCTGCTTTCTTTGCTTTAGAAAAAAATGTATTCTGATAGTCACTAAGGTCTCTTCTGTCTTAGCTTATGGAACATATTTCTAGTCAATTAAAACAATGTCATGAAAAATAGATGAAACATATAGATAAATCATAAATCATTTCTGGTAACTAGTTTTTGGAGGTGAACGAAATCGCATTAGCTTTATTGAATTTAGAGAGCTAATCCATCAGGCAGGTAATGTGTGAGACAGAACGTAGAGAGAAATGTGATTAACTGAAACTGGAGTAATCACAATGGCTCTCAACACTTGCCAGCCCAGGTCGTAGCCAATCTGATTGCCACCTGCTATAACCACGTTAGCACAAGGAACACACACATACACACACACGCGGGCTCATGAAYGCAAGCGCAGACACTCAAACGCGGTGAGAACATGCACAAGTAAGTGCTCCTCTTGCTGCCATCTATAAAAACGGACACATACAGTAGGTGTGTAACTCAGTTAGGCTTAATAAGATCTCTGTCCCATTCACTGATCTGATAGAGGTGGTAATCTTCAGAGCGCCACAGCACAGAGCTGCTGGCCTAATCAAATCGGTCCGGAGTTAACAGCTAAACCAGTTTTAGCAAATCAATCTGCATTTGTCTATAATGTAATCAAAGTCCCACATGCTGAGAAAATAAATTCACAAGCTTATCATGCTTTAAGTGCATTACAATTTGTTACAATTGAATGTAGAGGGAAACTGCATATCTTAGTGTTTCTGGATCTGTGTGTATGTGTGTGTGTTCTGCTGCCTGTGATTGTCAGTGCATGTATATTTAAAGTACCTGCAAAAGATCCTGCTTCAAACTGAGCTCCTGCTGCGTGGAGGAGCAGAGGGCTCCGATAGCTGTGCTCATGAATTCATCCGGGTTAATTTCAGCTAGCTGCTCCAAAATGCAGAGCGTGGGACCTCGATACTGATCGTCATCCAAGAAGATCTTTACGTAGGGAATCATACCGAGATCTCGCACCGAAACTGGAAAAAACGTGCAGAAAAATAATAAATAAAATAAAACAAAAATCACAGAATAAAAAAAGTCAAATGTTGTGATGTTTTAAAAATGGGAAACTGTTTTACCAGTATTTTTGATAGAACGTAAAGTAAAGGCTGAAACAACTTGAAGCATGCAAGTAGTGAGCAGCTTCTCGCTGTCCTCCACACATGGAAGCTGCTGGGGATCTAAAATAAATTCACACACAAAAAATAAATTTGAGAGGCTAACCTTTATTATCTTTTTTCCCAGTTAAGTTCAGCCACATCATCGGACATTTAGTGCGCAAATGCAAAAGTCGACATCACTTTATTATAAATTGACTCAATTTAAAGGGAACAACTCCTGCAAAAATCCACTTCTTTAGTCGTTAAACRCATTTTGTTGTGTACTTGGAGTCTCTAAGAGTGCAAAAAATTTAAATTTAGTCTCTTCTGGTGCTTCTGTTTGGGTAATAATTTTCAACTCATTCAGTTTTCTCTATTTTCTGACATTTTCTGGAACTATTATATCACAGCTCTTGCGACGGCACTGCCAAGTAAGGTCTGGCCTCAACAATAATTAAGCCGTCTTCATTCTTCTCTCACTCTGGGTCAAGTCTTCTGCTGGTGGCATCATTTAATTAATTTGTAAATAAAAAGTTTCTGCACCGCTACACCGTCATTAACCCCAGAATAGACCCCTCTGGAAGCTGGATGGGGGCGTGGCGTGAAGCTTCTCGTTTGGATTTAAAGAGACAGCCTCAAAATGAGTTGATCTGAGACACACCTCAGACAAGGGGTGAAAGTGGGGCTTGTGGAGTTACAATAAGGAGGAAATTTACACCAAAGCATTGGAGTTCCGCTTTATATAGACCCCAACTGAAGGATTTAAATGTGAAAAAGAAGGGTTTAAAAGCATGATATGTCTCCTTTAAAACATAAAAAATAAAATCAATGCCTATTTTTGCTACAGTTATACAAAGGCCAACTAAAAAATGTTAATCTGCCTTTTGGGATTGCGTAATCAGAATTACACAAGATGTTGTGGAAAAAGAAAACGTGTTTTTTTTTACTTAGTTTAGAGGAAGCTGAAACACCAGCCTTCCTCAGGATCTTTGCTCTTCTGCGAAGTTCCCCGAGCAGCAGTTCTTGTAACCTGCAGTCACTTAGCACCTCTGCTAGCATGGCACTGTGCACAATCATCCTACAGAGAAAAATAAAAGTCTAGCCATTATTCAAGGGGGAAACAGAGTTGAAAAAAAATACACACTTTTCAGTAACCAACTTTTATTGGTTCTCAACTAAAATGTGAAACTTTACTGTGGAAAAAACTGTCTGAGGTTTAATTTAAAAGCCAACTAAGAGAAAAATAACCAAGACTGAACCTGGACAATGTCTTTCTCCCAAATAATTTTTATGCTATGACATCCTGAAAAAGACAAATTGCTTACTTGTAAAAAACCTGGAGAGCCACCACACTAAATTCTATCACAACGACTCCACCAGCCAAAGTCCCAGCCCAGCTCTGCTTCAGTACAACCAGAAGAGCATGCAAGGTCTCATGGGGGATGTAGTTGAACTTGAATAAAACCTGTCAAAGTAAACCAACACTGAAGACAGACCTTGGTGAAACGAATAGACGTCTACAGTGACATTTCTGTCACTAGTTGTAAATCATACCATCTCTAGCAACGAAAAGAAGAGTTTGTGAACAGGTGCYGGTTTACTCCACACACAGGTAGCTAGCTGCGTCATCGACTGGACAGTCCACTCCAAGAGGAAGAAATTAACTGGGTCCTTCTCCCATATTCTCTGAAGGGTTTGAACAAGCTGGCAGCACAGGAGACAATCCTTGGAACGTAGCAAAGACGCCTGCAGCAGGTGGAAGGCAGGAAGGTTCTTCACCGTTAAACCTGGAGTTGACAAAAATGTCATTAGACTTCACTTTTTAAAACAAGTTTCATTTTTTTAAAAACTGGTAATTTATGACAATCTAAAAAATGCTGAAATGCAGAAAATCAAGCAGCAGTCAATTTGGTCAAATCAATTTTTTTAACCTGATTTATACGATTTTACTCCGACAAGGTCAAACACAAAGCGTCACTTTTACAATCAAGCACATGCAGAATCTCAGCAGTCAACTGAGTTATGCGTGCACTGATAGAATAAAAACAGATTTACATCTATGAATGCAAAAAAAGAAAAAGAAACTTAATCYGACATGATGGAGTTTGTTTGCTGCATTGTCAAAAATTTTAGAGGAAATCTTAGATTTTAGATGCCAAAACTCCCCTTTAGTTCGTTGTAAATAAACACAGAGCTGGTTAGTAATAAGATTCATTTTCACACCTAAAACTTTATCAGAATTTTACAGCGTTAGCAAACGCAGTTTCTTGTCTCTCTGCTGGAAACAGATCTGCTCTTTAATGTGATAGATGGCTGCTGAGTGTGTCCGTGTGTGTATGTATATGTACGCTCTATTTATGAGTGCTGGATAGAAGAGTGTGTGTGCATCTGTGATAGATGGCTGGTTGCTGCAGGCCAGTGGTGAATGAATGTGGGGCATCCTAACAGAGTTAGACGGGGAGCCTCCACTTCATCATTTCAGACATAATCACCTCAGTTTCCTGTTAACTTGAGGGGTGCTGTGGACTGCAGAGGGGCAGCAGTAAGGGAGAGGGAAGGTGGAGTCTCTGGGAAAGCAGGGGAAGGAGGGGGGGGGGGGGTTGGTTTAGTTTGGSAGGATTATATGAGGTTAAAAGTGCAAAGTAGGTATGAAGTGTGTGGTCCCTTTGAGGAAGGCTTCCCCTTCCTGGGTTCATCTTTGCTGAGCCAYGCAAGTGATACTAATTAGATGGTTTCGAGAGTGCATTTGGCAGGAGCGGTTCTCAGTTTTATCCTCATGGTACAATCAGAGGTAATAAGGAAAAGTCAGCAAGACAAAAATATCAAAGATGAACTTATAAAGACTCAACGTACCTTTGGTGAGAGGCGGGTCAAACTTAAAGCCTGCAGGCTGAGGAGCGGTGACACACACAGCCACTTTCAGCTCAGACTTTCCAAAAAAGGTGAAGGACGCGATAAGATTCAACAGTTCCTCCACAGGCTGAAACTGATCCAAGGGCACGCCGTCTTCACAGCTTGTAATCGTACAGTGTTGAGACACAAAAGAGGCAACTTTRAGATAAATATGTCACCATACCAACTATCAGTGGTGGGCACAGTTCCCCTAAAGCACTAACAGAGGAACTAATTTCTTGATTAGTGCTAATTTTAAAATGTATTAGTGAATTAGCACTTACTAAATTTATAGGCTAAATTTAGAAGCACTGAGTTCTATAAATGTTAATGTTAACAGCTGACAGTGAAAGCTGTCACACATTTTGTTCATATGTGTGTCACTTATCCACTAGGTGACAATATATGAACCCAAATACGACTGTGGAATGTCARTGATAACTTTTAAGAGAGCAACATGTGACTCATGTTGTCTGTTGAAGAATGTTCATGGGTTGATTGGGTTATTTTAGTGCTTTTGTTATGAACGGCTTGGAAAGAATGAACCCAGGGTGCAGGCGGCTTCAAAAAGTCAATAATAAGTATTAAACAAAAAATGCTGACAGAGCAGCTCAAAAACTCACTAGGAGTGGCAACGCATAGCGTGGCAAGACAAGGAACAAGAATCATCACAGGCTGAAAACAGCAAAATGAAAACATGAGAAACATGAGGAGCAGGTGAGAGTGGGCGGGGCTGGAGCAAAGGCAGACAGGAGGAAGAAAACAGATGACAAGACAGAAAACTAGAATAAAACATTAATACAGACACAAATCATAACAGCTTTAGAATTARCTTTTGCWAAAACTTTCAGTGCATTGGTGCTTTAGAATTAGGGGACCTAAWTATYTGAGTTAGTGTTTTAGGGCTAGTGGAACTAATTTTTAGATTAGTGCTGCCCACCACTGCCAACTATGAGAGCAGATCAATTATTTAAATTATACTTTAATAATTTCTAAGAATGTTTTCCTACATTTCACCCAAAAAAGAACATTCTCTTGTAGCTTTGTAAGTGTGTTTCTCTAAGCATGTTTTGTTGACGTTTAGGTTTACTGTTTATTGTTCTGATAAGAACATGTGGCCTCACCGTTTCAGGATGTTCTCAAGGGCCAAATAGCCATTGTTTGTGTCAAACTCTATGAAGAGCGCTGGACTGAGGTCATAAGTGTCTCTTATGAAGCTAAAAACAGCCACAGCCACCTCAGCTAGCAGGGATCCTGATACATTGGCACTGATATGCAGCAGGTTCTGGATGCAGATTCTCACACAGTTTTTGCCTGATGAAGAAAACAAWATGATTTAAAACAGCATCATTTATTTTTATTCATTTATTTTATCATTATAGTTTATTAAAAATTAATTAAATTAGAATTAAAAATCTAATTTGAAATTATTACTATTTTTTATTATTATTACTTATTTATTTATTTCAAGGATAACGAACCCCTTGAGATGTACCATCTGATTTTCGAAGGGGTCCTTACGTAACAAATATAGTAAACAATAATACAAATCACAATTATGAGTGAATCAAAAAATATATTAAAAGACATTTAAACAAATCACTACTGAGGTAAATCCCTCACCATCGTCCCCTTCAAAGGTCTCAGTTTCTCTGAGAATCTCTTTTTACACCAAACTTGTAAACGACACTTCAGAGAAGTTTTACATATTTCCATTAGCACAGGCTTCCTCACCTAACAGACTTGGAACAGTTTTGCTTGTTGGTACAGCAGAGACTGCTTTGAGGATGCGTGAGGCCTGATGTCTCCAGCTGGTGCTGGTCTGATCCCAGAGTGATGTGAGTCCGATGATAAGACACTGCAGTTCCTGAGACTCCACAAGCATCTCCACATTAGCTGGTTGTTTGCAGAGATGGAGGAAAATCTAAAACAAAAAAATGGCAAGAAAAATAACTTTAGATTGCATTTGTTACATAAGATAAGGAAAATACCATCAAGTCTATATAATACTAAATACCCAGTGTAACCAGAAACCTCAAATACAACTCAAAAGTTTAGTCACCTTGTTTTTTTTTATAAACTGCTCATATTTATTCCAATTTTTTATAAGTTGCAATTGTTCTCCTGGTGTTCTGAATGTTTTTCCATCCATTCTTTATGTCTAACTGTTTTCAGGGTAAAGGGTTTCTAGTTTAAGCCACTTAAAAAATGTAAAAAAAAAAAATCTATTTGACAAATAGAGCATTCATTTTTCTGTCAACAAAGTGATTAAAAAAGCTACAAGTCAGAAATGTTATATATCTCTGTGGGGCCTTTCACTTTAAGASAAATCTGTACAAGTGGGAAACAAAAGGAGAAGTGGCTAACCTTAAAATAACATGTATAAAAAATAAACGGAATCGGAAAGTTTTGCAAAATATAGCAAAGACCTGAGACTTAACCTGAAAATACATAAGACAAACAACTGAAAGCACAGTTACATAAACAGATCCATCTAATCYAGTCACGTTTTCAGCTGCTGTTTAGAAATGATGTATACATGTTGTTGAAGTCAGAAGAATGCCCTTTTTTGCACAATAGTTACAGAAATTAGCYACATCTCGATGATTCATGTGRTTTTCTTAAAAGAGTGATTTAATAGCTGTTGACCTGTGTTAGAGGCTCCTGAAAAGTCTGCTCTGTGGTCGTGTTTTCTGCTGTAGATGGGAGACACACCAGGAGGTAGAGACATTTCACCAAAGCAGCAGGAAGTCCTGAGTGTGTACAAGACAACACATCCTGCAAACACACAGAAAGGAGTCATGATTTAGGATTTAAAATGTGCAATAACAGCTCCAGAGAAACTTTTCTATTGTGTTCTGGATGTATGCATGTGTTACGGTTGTGTATCATTGGTAAATATCACTCACCGAAGTGTTAGATGTGAACAGTAACAGAGACTTTAACAGCAGCCATCCAGAACCTGTGGCTGCATCACAACTTGTGTCGTTATCTGGCCTCTTAAAGAACTGGACCACCTCTTCACGGGCCTTCTCTGTAAATGTTAAGCAGATGTAGTGAGATAAAAAGTAAAAACAAAAGTGCAGGACAGCGAGACTGCAACTGTACATAGCAAAACGGTTTCTGTTCACTGCCTGCCAGTACTAACAATAGATAAACCTGTTTTATTTTACAATAAAACAGAATTATCATTTAAGTTTTATTCTTTCCACAAAATATCAATGACAGCATCATAATCCAAAAAAGATACATTCATACATACATACATAACACAGTTTTATTAGATTTCAGATCCAAATCTAAGATTTATTTAAAAAATAAATAAATAACTAGCTTCCCTACTTATAAAATACAGACCCATAAAAATACATGAGTGGGGTATAGCGTTTAAAAAAATAAACTGGACAGAATAACATAAAACTAAAAGAATATAAGAATTAAATATTAGGTGGTTTGGCAGTTTACTGCTGTCTTTAACAAGTTCAATGCAACACTTTACTTCAAGTAAAATCTCAATGGAAAGTACAGCAACAACAAGAGAACAAAGAAAAAGCAGAAGTATGCAGAGGAGGTAAAAACTCCCTCAGCATTGAATTAACAGAAAGTGTATTTGCTGATATGAGCTGTAGTTAGTACCTGCGGGCCGTCCTTCCACTCTGCTGTGGATATTATGGACAACGGTGTCAGCAGTGAGAGCTGCAAGCCCCTTAATGTCCACACCTTCTAATCTGCCACCATCCTCACAAACCTGCAATAAGACATGAACAAATAAATCAGGCTTAAGAATGTTGGAGCAAAAATGTCAAGTGAAATGTTATATACAGTGTTTTTTTATACTGATTGTAACTATTCTAGCATGTTTGAGATGCATTCAGAGAATTAAAAAAACAAACTGGTGCACAGAATTGTTAATTTATGGTGGATTTTCTGAATAAAGACCAAATAAGAGGCCAAAACATGAACAAGTGAATAAAAATGTGTGTTTTAGAAAAGTTCTGACAAGTGCTTGTAGTTGTAAATTCATCTTGAGCAACAACGTTGCAAGAAACATTTGTCTTATCAAAGTAACACGCCTTGAAATGAATCACTTGTTTTTATTAAGGTGTTTAGACCACTTCTCATACTAGAACCCATTGAAACAGTGGTATAATGATTGATATCATCAATACAAGTACTACCACTGAGTGGTCGTACTATTTTGGCTGATTGGTGTATCTATTTTAAAAATATACTCAGATTTTTATGTTTTATATCCACAACTTCTTGAGAATAAGATGTAAAGATTTATATGAAATAAACTGTAAAAAAAAAATTCAATTTTAAAAGCTTCAGATATTGTTTGATAAAATAGTCGCTTTTTACATTTTTTCTTAGTAATGCACTTCAATTTAAATAGCACATGTCACAACAATCTACACTCTCTTTAGAGCTACATACTGAATTTCACTGAGTTTGCTCYTCTTAAGTGGGGGCTCTGAGTTCTGGTCAAATCTTCGGTCATGAGACCAACGCAGACACGGAGCTGCTCAAAGACCAAAGGCTGATTACATCTACAGCTTTAGTTTTGGTTAGCAGTATGACACACACAGAAAGAATCAAATGAGTGGGTAAGAAGAAATGTGAGGTTTCCTCACAGCCGTGACACAATTTGGGCAGGAGTATTTTTCCAGATCAGAAATAACAGCCTAAGCTATTAATCTGACTTAACTCCCAGTCTCAGAAGATACAACTGAAAGGTTCAGGACAAGAACAGTCAGAGGTGGGATCAGCTAAAAGTTAAACATCTGACTGTAACATCATGTTTTTTTAAGTGTTGGTGTGTCATGTGGTTCAGGACACACCATCTGCTAAAATCTGCCTGAATTATGTTTGCATGGTCWTCTGACAGACGTTATTTGTTTTAATGAATCCTTTTGCCGGCTACTCTATTGCAAAATTTAAAATCTGTAAATGTGTACACATCCTCTGGTGGTCCACACCTGTATGTAGAGGGGCAGGACTGTATATAGAGGCTCCTCTCGTTGCTCCAAAGAAATTCTGTCATCACTGCTCAAGTATGTGTGAATTCCCAGCTCGAGTATTTGCTTTCGGAGCACTTGCAGGAGTTCTGGGTTCCCACCGCAGCCCTCCACCTTCTCTGTCTTCAGCTCCACAGAGACATTCAGCTCTCCTGAAGCACTCAGCTCTCCTGTCTCTTTATTGATCCGGTCTCTTGTCATATTTTGGTCCTGTGGGGAAAACAGGAAGAACTCGTCACACTGATTTGTCTTTTTATATATATCATGAGGTCTTGTAATCTTTGTAGTCATGATTAATCATGTTTCCTTGGTCTGTCTCACTTCCTTAAATAAATTTGTCCAAAAATAGACACTAATTCATCCTCCTTGGAACACACTGTCTGTATTATTGAACAGAAAAGGAGTTGATCACTGGCAGTCATGYGCAGTTTTGGATATTACCTCTAGCAGGGATCAGCACAACATTCAATTTCTTTTTAAATAAAAAACACGTCACGCCAGTAAATCTTTTTAGTTAARGCTCTCTCTAAACTGCATCTTTTCATAACATTAGTCCAGGTTTTTCTTTTCCAAGCATAGTCTTTAGTCACCACAGTTAGTCTCTGTATTTCTAATGTGAAATTGGAATCATCATTGCAAAGTACCATCATGTGTTGACATGTTTAAGATTTACTCTTAAAGATCCAACATGAAAAAGCACGCACATTGGTGTCAATGTAGGTTTTACACTTCAGTGTTTCTAAAAGCGAGGACGTGAAAAGATGAGGAGTTCTGTTGTTAAACAGACATGTTGCACAAAACAACACTGTTTTGTCATTACATAGATACTATTTTGCATAATTTTGACTTTGGGACAATCAATCTTAAAGAAAAAAWGCAAACCTAAAGTAAAAATTGATTAGACGGAGCCAGTAAAGGAAACGGATTGACATTTGGCTTTCCACTGAATATAAATACACATACACAGCTTGTTCCTTGTGTCAGAGACACATGCTTTTCATTTTTGTCCTCGCAGAGTCGAGTATCTATTAAAACGAAAATAACTGAAACAGCAGCACTTCTCCTGCCATTAGCATGGCATTTAAAAGGAAAGCTACCCATGCAACAGACAGCTAAAATCTTACCCGTTTTTTTGTGAGCGCCATCAGGGAATTTCCTGGCTCCAAGGGAATGTTGTCATCTGTGGGAGTGTGAGGTCTGCTTCTGTTCCCATGTCAGGGGTAAAGGACCTGCAGAGACCTGCTAAGGTATGGCAAACAGTGCATGCTGTGTAGACCCTTTCGTAAAACCGCCTGCCTCTACTAATCCACAGCAAGTAGACTTTGAACAAGCAGAGTAACTTATGTCAGCTGGCTCAGGTCATGTGCCTTCTCACTTCCTTAGAGAAAGCAGAAGTGAAGAACTGTTGTCTAGCTGGTTTAGATAGGGCCCTCCCAGAGCAGCAGGGTTATTAGTTTCTTTGTAAGGACATGTTGTGTGGCACTATGATGGTACAAATCAGCCTRACTAGAGCCTCTAATTTACAGAAGAAAAACAAAAACTCTGCCTGGGTTGTTGTGAAAATGGCAGGCTTCCTTTACATGGGAAACAACCTCAAACAAATTGACCAGTAATCTAAATGGATAACAAGTTTACTTTGTTTATGCGTGTGTAAACTTCATGTTGCACGTTCAAACACAAATTTGTCTTTGTAAAACTCAAAAACTCCACCATTAGTTTTGTTTAGATGAAAGGATCAGCAGGAGAAAAAAAATCTGAAAAGCTTCAAAACGGTTAAGCTTTGGAAATAATCCTCAGTTTCAAACTGAATTAAGCAGCTGACTTTTAACAGCCTAAGAAAACATTCGAGCAGATTTAAAGTTGGATTTTATCTTGAAACTTGGGTGACAGCGGGTTGAAGAAAACTAAATAGAACTAATGTTTGCAAACAGCGACATCTAGTGGGCTTTAATGATACAGAAATCACTGTGAAGACTATCATAAAACTATCATAAATG